AAACATTATTTAGTTATTTTTCTTTTTAATAATACTTTTATTTAAAAGCTATATAATTCAAGTCAATTTAAAAATTTCTTTTAAATGGTTCCCATAAGATATATATACACATATATTAAATTTGTATAGATTTGAAATAATATTAATATTACAAATTTTTTATATAATTTAAATATTATAAATATTTTTAAAAATATGTAATATATATTTTTTGTTATTGAATAAGAGGATATTATGTGTAAGAAATGTAGAAAATAAGAGTTTAATATTTTTATTATGGAGTCGCAAAAAAAATCTTTTATTTCTATACATGTTATTCATTTATTAATAATAAAAGAAAACAAATCCTTTAAATTAGATATTAATAGGTAACAAATCATTTATTAAGTAACAACCAATAAATTTCACCAAAAAATAGGTAACAACCAATAAATTCTAAACGCAGTAATTAAAGAATGAGATATTAAAAAAAAAATATCAAATAAGATATAAGAATCTTAAAATAATTGAACATCTAAATAATTTAATTGTTAGTGTCGATTTTAATGCCTTCATTAATGTGGATTTTTTTTTTTACAGAGAAATATTTCCTAAAGATTATCACATTAATGATTCAGAAAATTAAGGAAGATATGAATTTATGATTCTCGAAATCGTATTGGTAATATCTTTAATTAATATTTTTCAAATTTAAATAATTAATGCCAATGGCATTCATCCGTAAATAAGGTCCAACTCCAGGATTTATTTGCTAAAAGTCATTCAAAAATGTATATATAGATAAGCATTTAAGGTTTTCAAACTTTTTACCAGGAAAAAAAAAAGGTTTTTCAAACTTGATTTGTTTTTAGACGGTTAAATTATTCGAAACATTTTAGATAAAAAGTAATCCACACTCTCTAATCCAAATCTTAATTGCTAATCAGTTTTCTATGTGTAATGTCATCGTTCCCAATCCCGCATCGCACCACCACCTTCTCAATAGTCAAGTGTGTTGTTTCTAACCTCCGTCGCCGACTCGCCGTAAACATTTCCTTATTAGCGAATTTGGATTATTATATAAACTAATATAATAAAGTTACCTTGGTTTGACCGTACTATATGCATAGTCCACGTATAGAAATGTAAAATAGACGTAAGAACTAATATGATAAATTTAGTGGGCAAGTCCCATCATTAAGCTTTTTAGAGTAGTTTCTTTGTTACCTCAAATCAATTAAAGAGAAGAGACCATGCATTTATGAAAACGATGGTTTGCAAATAGTTAAGAGTTAAGAGTCAAGACAAATTAATTTCACACACAAAAAGTTAAATCGTCAAATAACTATGACCAGTGATCATGGTTTACGACATGGATACAAAGGATGGGATAAGCTTAACGTCTATCATTATCATTGATTAAATTATTATTTTTGACCTGCATAGTAATTACGTCAACACTATAATAGTTTAGTGTTTCGTTTCTTTAATATGTGACAGCTAAACGTAAAAAAATCATTAATTAATTAGGGTGTATAATCTTACTTGGAATATGCGTACCCGTTACTCATTTTGACCTGTTCAAAATTTCCAGTACCTATAAAATATCAGTGTACATACGTACTTGTTAAGTGGATAAGTTTATCGTTTAACCCGCACATCAAATTAAAAAGTACGGGTCAAACCAAAGATACAAAATGGTCCATGTGTAACTTTAGTTGACAGAGAAATCAAATCCAAAGTCTTTGCAAATTTATGCTTTGGGCCTTAAATAGTTAATTGGCAATGGCATGCCACCACACGCATGTTTATTATGTAAAAATTATTTGGGAGTTACACATATATTAATTAATGTATTAGGGTTCTTATTTAGTTAAATCAAAATTTATGTATTTACTTTGGTATAAAATAAATTACATGTAAGTACACTTAATAATTCTTAATACGATGAAAAACCGAACTAGAAATTAATCTCAATATAAATAGACGTTTATAGTTCTCAAAACAACCCCTAACCAAAAATACTAAAATATATAATTCTCTGCAGAGTTAAAATTATTGAAAAGCTATTCAGAGTTCCTGATCTCAAATTCATACCCAAAGATATGAATTCATTAGGTACGCCTCAAGTTTTGTTATCATTCATCAAAAACTTACATAGACTTCAAGTTTTATGGAATCGGAAACTACTTTCATATTATCTTTAGGTTTTCAAATTAAGAATTTCTGTCATACTGTATTTTGTGGGGTTTTTGGTTGTTGATGTGATCGAATCTGAGTACTCCGTCTTTGACTTGGACGCCAAGTTTTCTAACCGACACTAATCACTAAATGGGCCAAGCCCAAACTAAAAGACGCGCTTCCTCTTTCCACGTGTCACTCTTTTTTAACTTTGTCGCCAAGTCTTCGTTTTTTTTTTTCCTTTAACCTCAAAAAGTTTTCTATTAATGGGCCTTTTTATATAGAGGCCTTTATCTGAAAGCGGACGAAATCAAAATCTCCGATTGTTTCTTTCTTCTTCTCCTTCCGCCATAAGACACAGAGACAGAGGGAGAGAGGAAGAATCCCTAAAACCCTTTTGAGCAATCTTCCGTTTCTAGAAGATCGCGTCCGGTTTTGGCCTCGAGACCCATGTCAAAAAACGGCCCTTTTCACCAAAGTAGCAATGGTTTTTCATCTTCCGATTTTCTGGATATGTTTGAATTTGGGGTTTCACTTTTAGTCAACTTAGGCTTCTTGAGTCCTCTTATGTTTGCAGTTTAATGCTTTTGTTATTGAGTCCTCTTGTGTTTCCATTTGTATGCAATTTCGTTATAGTAATGGAGCTGTTTGATGAATTTCCCCTGCATGTTCTGTTTTGTAGTTGGTCATGAAGATGAAGCAGGCAAGAGAGCTGTTCTATCTAAATTAGTGACATTGTTGCGAAAATTGGCGGAACAAGGAATCGATGTTCAAAATTGTCCCCCAGGACAACGTAGTGGCTTGATATGTCCAACGGTATCAATCTCAGTCTTCCTCACATGCTTATATGTTGCTTTCTTACATGTTTGCTCTTTCTTTTGGGAATCATCTTGAAAAAGGCTAATTTTAGATTACTTGGGTACATTAGTGTGAAGGTGGAGACTCTGGAGAAAAAAACTTGACTCTTTACATATACCCTGATGGGTATGTTATCTTATTATCTCATATAATAAAGTTTTGGTTTTGAACTTGTTGTTCATGAGACTGTAGTTAATGATCATTTCTTTTAAATTTCTAATTCTGTAGTTCGTCAGCTAAGTGGAGTTGCAGGAGGAAGTGTGGTTTAAAAGGTGTAGTACAGGTGAGTTGCGACGGTTGAGTATGAGAACGACCAACATTTTATAAAGTAAAAAACTTTATTGTATTTTGAACTTATCCTCGTTCCTGTTTGCAGGTGGATGGTAAGTTGGTATCTAAAGATCCAATGGAGAAGGTTGAAAGAAAAATTACTGTGGAGGGTATAAAGCTACAACCACTCTGTGATGAGGTTGTTGTCTTCTTTCTTCTGTGTCTACTGCTTTCTTCAGAAAATGACTGAACTTTGTGAATTTTTTTATTTCTTTGTAGTTATATGAGTTTGATCATATTTATTGTATTCTTGGTTATGCTTCAGATTCAAGATTTTTTCGCTGCAAGAGCGATTTCAGTGAAAACACTCGAGAGAAATCGGGTTATGCAGAAAAGAATAGGTGACGAGGTAGCTTACGAGTATTCTTCTGAATTGATTATGTTTTAAAGAACAATTTTTAGAAAGTTCGACTTGGTTCTGGTCCTGTGTTTCTAATTTCTTGCTACATTTAATGCGGCAGATTATGCTTGCTTTTGCGTATTGGCAAAGAGGGGAGCTTGTGAGTTGCAAGTACCGGTCTCTAACTAAGAAGTTCTCTCAGGTTCACATCATCATACAAAGTCCCTTACATAGCAGATGTGAACAACTATCTCGAGCTTTTTGTTACGACTGTTCTCTTACATACTTTTTTCTTTGATTTTTCCTTCAGGAAAGGAATACACGGAAGATCTTATATGGTCTTGATGACATAGAAAAAGCATCTGAAATCATTATAGTATGTCTGCCGTCATCTCCTTTAAATTATCGTACGAAACTAAACTGTGAAGAGCAGTATCTTAATTCTTTGAGGAAAATTAAACTTTAGGTTGAAGGGGAAATAGATAAACTTGCAATGGAAGAGGCTGGTTTTCTCAATTGTGTGTCTGTTGCTGATGGAGCTCCAGTGACGGTTTCTTCAAAGGAAATCCCATCTGAATCCAAGGTTTGCTCGGTCTTCTTCTAGGTTTCATACTTTATATCTCTTTTTTCCATTCTCTCTTATTTGATTGCTTAAGCATTTTACTGTACTGTGAACCTAGGACACGGCGTTTAAGTACATATGGAATTGCAATGACTATCTAAACAAGGTATGTGATCACTTATTATTTGGTTTGATGTTTGATTGTTTGAATGTCAATATTCCAAGAATCATGGTATAAAATGGTTTTTACTCCAATAGGTGTCTCGGATTGTTCTTGCTACTGACGGAGATGTACCTGGTCAAGCTCTGGCGGAAGAACTTGCACGGCGATTGGGGAAAGAAAGATGTTGGCTTGTCAAATGGCCGAAGAAAAGTGAGGATGAACATTTCAAAGATGCAAACGAGGTCAGATTCGATTACATGTGAAATTATGAAATTTCTTTTGGTGATTACTCTGGTTTAAATGATATCTTATTTGGTTTCTTAGGTGCTTATGTCTAAGGGACCTCAATTACTCAAGGAAGCTATTCTAAATGCTGAGCCATACCCTTTGAAGTCATGAAGTGTGTTGATTTCATCTTCTTTTTTGCATATTTGTCTTATTAATTTTTCGGAACTAGCATTAACTGTATAATTTTTCACTTTTTTTTTGCATATATAATACACATTCTAAATTTTAATTATTAACCAAGAAAATAATTCAATTCAACTTTCTAGGTGAAACAGAGTACATAGCACTTTTGGATAAAACAAGCGGATTTTTTACATTAGTTAAGAAGACAATTAACTAATGGCTAAACTCTAGCTATTATAGAAAACTAATACAATGAACAAATTAGAAACAGACACAACATAAGACAAATTTAAGGATTTGGACATACGAGCATCTGGATAGAATTAAATCTAATTAGTCAGATTTGTTGACAACAACTTATTGATGTCTCGAGAAAGCTTAGGGTTTCTCAAGATGCATTCTTCGGCTTTCAGGACTTGAACCATTTCCCTTGGAACCACACACACTTCTTCTGTCGATAGCTTCTCCTGGATTTCTTGAGAGGCAAGCAAAAACTGTATTTCTCTTCCCACCTTTGAACTATCCCGAGTCTGCATATTTTAAACAAGTATCGCATAAAATAAACTGAAGGAAAATTCTGCGGGGATTAAATAGGATTTAGAGTTTATCTTATACCTGTATTTTGCTCTGCTTCAGCTGGAGAATCTCAGTTTGAGCCTGCAAGAACTTGACGTATTTAGCTGCGGCATGGAACATTTCGGCAGTGTTGTGTTTCTGACTTCCAGGAATTAGTTTCGCAAGCTCTTGAGTCTTCTCTGTGATTCTTCTTCTCCTTTTTCGTGCTGCGATGCTCTGAGCAGATAGCTCTCGCTTCTTGGTGTCGCCTTGTTCAGTCCACCCAACCTTGAACGTCGATGAGAAATCAGGAACTCGAAACTCGGAAATGTTAGCAGCTTCGGTGATGTAAGAATCACAGAGGTTAGAGTTAGGTCTCGGGGAAAAAGGGTCGTGAGTGTTGAAATGGAAGCTGGAGTTTATGAGGTTTTGGTGTTTAGGCGTGTGGAAGAAGGAATCTAAGTCCTGTGACTCATTGAAGACTTGGGTCTTAGGGATAGGGAGAAAGATTTCTTGAGGTGGAAGAAACGAATCGTAGAAATGATCAAAGTGATCAAACCTGAAGAGAGACGGTGAAAGAGCTTCGTCGTGATACAATGGCTGATGTTGCGGTTGTGCTTGGAAGAAGAACGTGTCGTTTTCAGGGATAATCATATCCACATCAGGGATAAAGCAATCCTGAAGCTGGATTACATCGGAGTTGGAGAAGTAGCTTAAGCAGTCCATAATTAGGAAAGAGATGATGAATCTGTGTTTTAGCAAATGAAGAATGTGAAGCAATCAGGAGCAGTTACAGATGGGGAGGTTTTGAGTAAATCGTTAATTATGACTTAATTTAGCTTTAACTGTTGCTAATTAAGCTTAGAGAGAGTAAACGCAGAAAAGAAGGAAAGGACAAGAGAAGATATATGAGAGAAGCAAAAGATTCTGTCTTTTGTTTCTTTGAGTGAAGTAAGACTTCAGGTAGTAGTAAGTTTTGTAACTTATAACTTAACCGTCACGGAATAAATATGAAAGAGAGAGATAGAAGTTAGGGTTTTGGCGAGGATTAAGGAGGGGTTATAGTGGGTTTTTTTAGCTTAACTACCTCCTAAATACTAGGCCTCGTTTCCTTTCTTTTTCTTAATTATTTTCAAGAAATATGTACTAATTAATTACTTTTGGGCCTGTTTGTAATTATATTACCTTGACGTTATTTTTGTTCATTTCATCAATCCTTCAAAGATCACTAGATTAGGAACTAAAAAAAACTTTTAAATAAAGTTAAGAGTTCTACAGCCTCTAAAGCCCTACTACCAATCAGCCCAAACAATTTTAATTCGTCCAATAACTTTATTATTCGTGGAATTTCACGAAATATAAACAAAAAAATTAATATAAAACTCGATAATGCTTTAAATTATACCATACACCACATTTCACACTTGAATCTACGATAGAAATCAGACCCTACTTTCTAATGAAGAATAGTTATCTAGTCCCATAAAAAAATGTAATTCACAAACCACATTTGGTTTATTCCCATAAACTTATGTTTAGTAGTATGAATTCGTAAAAACATATTTTAAAATTCATTAAATCAACAACATTTAAAGTTCTTTATGTAAATTAGATCTTAATATTATATACTAATAATATATATTGGGGGCTATTACATTTATTTTAACTGTATTTTTTTTAAGGACTTAAGAAAAATAAACCGGCATATTTATTTAGCGTTTTTTCTTTTCTCGGTGGCGCGATTGACTCGGTCCTACAGTTTTAGCGGCTAAAAAAGTTGAGATTGGTGGTTCCACGTTGTTCTCTCTTTGACTTTGCCGCCAAGTTTTCTATCCCCACTAATTACAAATGGGCCAGGCCCAATCCCTCTTCCACGTGTCACATTCGCTTTGACTTTGTCGCCAAGATTTTTCTTAAGGAAATAATGGGTCGAAATAAATGCAATAGACCTAAACCAACAGTTAATGGGCCTTTTCGCATCTAAGCCCATTTATCTCAAAGAGAGCGAAATCAAAATCTTCCTTCGTCTTCCTCCATAAGACACAGATACAGAGGAGGGAAAGAAGAAGAAGAAGAACCCCTAAAACCCTTGAGCAACCACTATGAATGGATAGTTGCTGAAGATTTTTTACTCAATCGATACTTCGAGATGCGATTTTTGCTTCGTTTACCACAAACCCATCTGCGGAAACTCTCTTGCTCGATGTCTGTGCTCATGGGTTCGAAGCAATTCCTCGAATTTTGTCTTCTTCCTTCTTTTGCCGCATACCCTTCTTCTTCTTCTTCTTCTTCTTCTTCTTCTTCTTCTTCTTCTAGTATTTCTCCTTCTTATTCTTCAAGTAGACAAGTATCTTCCGTTTCAAGACGATTTCGTCCGGTTCTGGCTTCGAGACCTGTGTCCAAAAACAGTCCTTACTACCAAAGGACCAATGGTTTATCATCTTACAATTCAATCTCCAGAGTCCCAACTCCTGGTATGTTCTGTATATGTTTGAATTAGGGGTTTCATTTTTAGTCATTTAGGGGATTTTGGTTCTGTTCTTATTGCTCCTCTTTTGTAGTTTTACTATGTTTTCATGCTTCTTGTTATTGAGTCCTCTTGTGTTTCCATGTGTATGCAATTTAGTTGATAGCTGCTTGCAATACAACAAGATATAGTAATGGAACTGTTTGATGAATTTCCTCAGCATTTTCTGCTTTGTAGTTGACACTGAAGAAGAAGCAGACAAGAGGGCTGTTCTATCTAGATTAGTGACTTTGAGGCGTAAATTGGCGGAACAAGGAATTGATGCTGAAAACTGCCCCCCAGGACAGTCTAGTGGCTTGATATGTCCGACGGTATCAATCTCAGTCTTCCTCACATACTTATTTATTTGCCAAGACTTAAGTACTATGTGGATGTTGCTTTCATTAATGTTGAGTGTCTTGAAAAAGGCTAATTTAGATTGTCCATTGTTCTTGTGGGTACATCAGTGTGAAGGTGGAAACTCTGGAGAAAAAAGCTTGTCTCTTTTCATAGCCCCTGATGGGTATGTTATCTTATTATCTCATATAATAAGTTTTGGTTTTGAACTTGCTGTTCATGACACTGTAGTTAATCATGCCGTTTTATTTTCTTATTTGTAGTTCATCAGCTACATGGAATTGCTTCAGGGGGAAGTGTGGGTTAAAAGGTGGAGTACGGGTGAGTTGCGATTGTTGAGTACGAGTACAACCAACATTTTAGGAAGTAAAGCTTGATTATATTTTCAACTTACCCTCATTCCTGTTTGCAGGCGGATGGTAGGTTGGCATCTGCTGATCCTATAGAGAAGGTTGAAAGAAAAATTACGGTGGAGGGTATAGAGCTAGAACCGCTCTGTGATGAGGTTGTTGTCTTCTTTCATATGTTTCTTTTGACATACTTATTTTTTTTCTTTCTTCTGTGTCTACTGCTTTCCTCAGAAAATGACTGAACTTTGTGAATTCTTCATTTCGTTGTACTTATATGAGTTTGATAAATTTTATTGTGTTCTTGGTTATGTTTCAGATTCAAGATTATTTCGCTGCAAGAGCAATTTCACGGAAAACACTCGAGAGAAATCGGGTTATGCAGAAAAGAATAGGTGACGAGGTAGCTTACGAGTATTCTTCTGAATTGGTTATTTTTCAAGATTTTTTGCTGTCCTCAGATTCTAAAGGAGATGTTACTTCTCACTCGCTGTTCCGTCTTGATTGCAGTTTAGAAATCCTGATTTATCTAGTTACATGATTGGTTCTAGTCCTGTGTGTCCGACTCTGTTGGTATATGCTTTCTCATCTCTAATTTTTTGCTACATTTAATGCGGCAGATTGTTATTGCGTTTACTTATTGGCAAAGAGGGGAGCTTGTTAGTTGCAAGTACCGGTCTCTAACTAAGAGGTTCTTTCAGGTTCACATCATACAAATTCCCTTCTCAATATCAGACATGAACAACTCTCTCGAGCTTTCTATTACGACTCTTCTCTTACATGCTTTTTTCTTTGACTTTCCTTCAGGAAAGGAATACACGGAGGATCTTATATGGTCTTGATGACATAGAAAAAACATCTGAAATCATTATAGTATGTCTGCCGCTATCTCCTTTAAATTATCGTATGAAACTAAACTGTGAAGAGCATTATTTTAATTCTTTGAGGAAAATTAAACATTAGGTTGAAGGGGAAATAGATAAACTTGCAATGGAAGAGGCTGGTTTTCGCAATTGTGTGTCTGTTCCTGATGGAGCTCCAGCGTCGGTTTCTTCAAAGGAAACCCCATCTGAGGACAAGGTTTGCCTGGTCTTTTAGGTTTCAACTTTATATCTCTTTTTTTTTCCATTCTCTTTTATTTGATTCCTTAAGCATTTTACTGTTCGGTGAAGCTAGGACACGAAGTATAAATTTCTATGGAATTGCAATGACTATCTAAAAAAGGTGTGTGATAATTTACTATTTGGTTTGAATGTCAATATTCCAAGAATCTAGGTATAATATGGTCTTTATTCGTAGGCGTCTCGAATTGTTATTGCTACTGATGGAGATGGACCTGGTCAAGCTCTGGCGGAAGAAATTGCACGGCGTTTGGGCAAAGAAAGATGTTGGCGTGTTAAGTGGCCGGAGAAAAGTGAGGATGAACATTTCAAAGATGCAAACGAGGTCAGATTAGATTATATGTAAATTTAATGAAACTGCTTTTGTGTTTACCTTGGTTTAAATGACCACAATGATTCCTTACTTGGACGATTTTCTTAGGTGCTTATGTCTAAGGGACCTCATTTACTCAAGGAAGCTATTCTAAATGCTGAGCCATATCCTATACGAGGATTATTCCCCTTCAAAGATTTCTTTGATGAAATTGATGCCTACTATCATAGAACACATGGGCACGAGTATGGTGTTTCAACAGGGTGGAAAAATTTGGACAACTTCTATAGTGTAAGCGTTGCAGTCATGTTCTTTATTTTTAAATATTGTTGTAGGCTCATCAACTAATGTGATATATTCAATTTGCTCCTGTTCAGGTTGTGCCAGGGGAGTTGACAGTTGTGACAGGGATCCCTAATTCTGGAAAGAGTGAATGGATTGATGCTATGTTGTGCAATCTTAACCATAGTGTTGGCTGGAAATTTGCTCTCTGTTCAATGGAGAATAAGGTGTGTTTCTGAACTTGTCCTTGGATGGAAAAACTGCTTTATAGTAGCTTTACCTGATTGTTCTTATTTGTGCTGCTTTTAGGTACGAGATCATGGCAGGAAACTCTTGGAAAAACATGTAAAGAAACCATTCTTTGATGCAGAGTAAGCCTCTTTGCTTTGAAAAGATCCACATATATCTAATTGAAAGCAAGAACTGGTGCTCTTGTAATGTCTGACCTCGTACTTATCTTTGTTCTTTTTGAAAGTGGTGTGTATGTTTCCCCTTTTTTCTCAACAGTTATGGGAGATCTGTCCAACGGATGAACGTTGAGGAGTTGGATGAAGGGAAACAGTGGTTGAACGACACCTTCTCTCTCATAAGGTAAGATATTCAGCCTTTATAGAACTCGACTCTCCGCTGATACAAATAACTACCTTAAGCCCAGAAAGTTGTGTACCTTGGACATGATATGGTGGTGTTTGGGTTCTCATGACTAATCAGATGTGAGATGGATTCACTTCCAAGTATTGAATGGGTTCTGGAACGTGCAAAAGCAGCTGTTCTTCGGTACGGGATTCGAGGACTTGTTATAGATCCTTACAATGAGCTCGATCATCAACGTACTTCACGCCAGTGAGTGAAGAAAAATCTTTTCACTTCAATCAGTTTTACCCTCTTTCCTCTGTGAACTATTAAAGATTTATATTCGTTGTGATAGGACGGAGACAGAGTATGTTAGCCAGATGCTTACAAAGATCAAACGCTTTTCCCAACACCACTCCTGCCATGTCTGGTTTGTTGCTCATCCAAAACAGTTGCAACATTGGGACGGCGGTGCACCAAACCTTTACGATATTAGTGGCAGCGCACATTTTATAAACAAATGTGACAATGGTATAATAGTTCACAGAAACCGTGATGAAAAAGCTGGACCTCTTGATCTAGTGCAAGTGGGTACCAATCCCTTCATCTTCATCTGTAATGTATTATTTGAAAATTGGCCTTCGTATTGTGTAAAGTTCCTAACCTTTTTGTATGTTTCAGATTGGTGTGAGGAAAGTACGAAACAAGGTTGCAGGACAAATTGGTGATGCGTATTTGTGTTATGACAGGTACATTAACTTTTCAATTACCTTCTTAGTTATATACTAATCTAACTTAACGGACTGAACAAGACTTCACAAGAACTTATGATAGTGTTTTGTATGCTACTTTGGCATCGAAAACTAGCTGAAGTTATTCCGAAGTACCCATAGTTTAGATTAAAGAGCTAAGCGTTTCATGCGTAGAACACCAAACCTGTGTCAAAACTCTGTTCAAAGTTACAATATTTTATTCTAGGATGTTAGTTCAATAATGAAATCTTTATTCGACAGGGCAACTGGTTTGTACTCGGATTCTCCAGTGACGCCTGAGATACCTGAGAGGAGACCAAGCAACCGATACTGATCAGTTTGGTGAGTTATAAAGACCGTCAAACACAGTGGACATAGCATTACCGATAACATTTGGAACAAAATTTTATCCCTTTTGGGTACCATTAGGCATTAGCGAGGAAAAAGATCTTCGTGTGAGATTCTTACCTTTGTGTTTTAACAGACTGTCTCTGTTAAAAAGAACAAGATTATGTCACTACTATGTAATGTGGAATTGTGTATCGTGGATCGTGGTGTTTCTCTTTTGTGTCTGGTGGGTCTGATCTAAAATGTGACTGAATTCGATTTTTGCAAAGCTCTGTGATCTTTTTGTGCTCTGTCTCTTTCTGTCATTTGTTCTGATTCTCTCTGTCTCTGTCTACTCCTTTCGTTGCGGCTGATTTGGTGGGTGAATTAGCTGTATAACTGTTGACTTCAACTACCTATCTGTTATTATTATGCAAACTCTTTGCAATTGATTCAATTATTTCCAATGTTTTGCCCTACTTATCTGTGTTTTGTCTACCTAATTGATTTTTTGAGCATAATCTAATTGTCACGCAAATATTTTATAGTAGAATCAGTTGCGGCGGTGCACTATAAATGTCGATCATATAATCATTACGACGTAATTAATATAGGGAATATAGGTGAAGAGATGTGGAAATAGTTTATTCGCGTCAAAGTATATGACCAAGACCAAAACTATTGATATGTTAATCACATAGCTTAGGAAATAACACAATGATTGGTTGTCAAATTGAGAGGAGTCCAACTTACGGATGATTATTAACAATTAAGTTTAGAAATTACCGACCAATATTCAACTCACCTAATAATCTGATTTACATGCAAACATTTGAAGATATGATTAGTGTCTTTTATTAGCCTTGTTGTCATCAGCTAAAAGAGATATTTACTTACCAATAAAAGAGACCGTATATCCAATTCCGATTGATTAATGAAATCATGATTTATTAAGGAACAAATGTTTGAGGTGGTAAATATATATAATCAACTAAGTAACCGTTACAACGAAGAGATTCTTCTCCACTATCACATTATACTTGGTACTTTCTAATTATATTAAAGTTGGTTTAATTTAGAATTATGTGTTTAACTCTATAAAATTAGAAAGCAAACAAAACAAGAAAAACATATTAAAATCAATTGCACACAAAAAGTGACTTTGGTTGTGAATATATCCGTCCGTTGCGCCGAACATACTCTGTCGAATAGCACACGTGTCGTTCTCTAATTTGATAAACAGATCAGCGTAGACGACCGTTGAGAGAACATGAGAAGCGAAACGTGGGACCTCAAAGAATATCTTTGTTTAATTGTAGTAATTGTTTTGTTTTGCGATTTTGAGAATTTGCCAGGCTGGCAAATATGGGCCAGGTTGGATCATCCAACGGCTGTGGTTGGTTTCCTTATGTTTACTGGTGGGGTCCATCATGTGACCGTTGCTGAGAGTCGGTGTGGACCACCTCTCAAGGCTAGGGTTTTTCTTCTCTGCATAAAGCTCCATTCTTTGTTCCTCCTCTCTCTTTCTCTGCTGCAGCTTAACCTTAAGAGAAAAAAAAAAACACAACAAGAAGAAGAAGACGAATCATCTTCTTTAGGGTTCGGTAAAGAGATTCCAAGGAAGAATCTTTCCCAGAATCCGATAAATTTTTATCATCTTCTTTAGGTTGGTTTCTCTATTTGTTCTTCTCTTTAGAAGCAGTTAAATTCGAGTCCTTTTTGGGTTTTAATTCGATTGTCTCTCTTGATTTCTCGATTTTCATATCGATAAACTTAGAAAGCTTCGTATTTGAGCTAGATTTCTCTTGTTTTTAGGTAAAAAAATAGAAAGTTTCAATCTTTTTTCCTGGAATTAGTTTGGTTAGTTCCGAGACAAGAAATTGAGTAGGATTCCTTTTGTTTTGTTGTTTGAGTTCGTTTAATCGTTAGGGTTTAGCAAGAATTACGTTTTTGATGTATAGATCTCTACAAATCAGGAAGAAGAATTAGCTTGTTTCTTTAGATCTTAGTTTTAGGGTTATTACTACTCTGGTTGATTTTATAATTGGTGACTAAAATATTGTTTATAATCTTGGTTACAGGCTTTTAAGATGACTGCTGAAGTTAAGGTTGAGGAGAAACAGGTGGAGTCAGAGGTTGTTATTGCTCCTGCTGTTGTTCCTGAGGAGACTACTGTGAAATCTGTTGTGGAAGAGGAAGAAGTCAAAGCTGTTGAAGAAGATGAGAGCAAGCCTAAGGGTGTGGAGAAGAGTGCTTCGTTTAAAGAAGAGAGTGATTTCTTTGCTGATTTGAAAGAATCTGAGAAAAAGGCTCTGAGTGATCTCAAGTCTAAGCTTGAGGAAGCTATTGTTGAAAACACTCTCTTAAAGACGAAGAAGAAGGAGAGCTCTCCTGTTAAGGAGAAGAAGGAAGAGGTGGTGAAACCAGAAGCTGAGGTTGAGAAGAAGAAGGAGGAAGAAGCAGAGGAGAAGGTTGAGGAAGAGAAGAAATATGAGGCTGTTGTTACCGAAGAAGCAGCGAAAGATGAGACTGTTGAGGTGGTTGCTGCAGAGGAGGTAATCCCTAAGGAAGAAGTGACGACTGTTGTTGAGAAGCTAGAAGAAGAAGACAATAAGGAAGAAGAAGAGAAGAAAACTGAGGATGTTGTTACTGAAGAAGTGAAAGCTGAGACTATCGAGGTGGAGGATGAAGATGAGTCAGTGGATAAGGATATCGAGCTTTGGGGAGTGCCATTGCTTCCAAGCAAAGGAGCTGAAAGCACAGACGTTATCCTCTTGAAGTTCTTGAGAGCAAGAGACTTTAAAGTCAATGAAGCCTTTGAGATGCTGAAGAAAACCCTCAAATGGAGAAAGCAACACAAGATTGATTCGATCCTTGGAGAGGACTTTGGGGAGGATCTTGCCTCTGCAGCTTACATGAACGGTGTGGACCGCGAGTCCCACCCAGTTTGTTACAATGTCCACAGTGAGGAGGTTTACCAGACGACATTTGGGTCAGAGAAGAACAGAGAGAAGTTCTTGAGATGGAGGTTTCAGCTGATGGAGAAGGGAATCCAGAAGCTTAATCTTAAACCAGGAGGTGTTACTTCTCTTCTCCAGATCCATGATCTCAAAAACGCTCCTGGAATGTCAAGAACAGATCTCTGGGTTGGAATCAAGAACGTAATCATGACTTTGCAGGACAATTATCCGGAATTCGTGTCCAGAAACGTGAGTTCATTCATTCATTCATCATTCGTTTTGGGATTCATTGATTTGGTCTACTGACTTTTCTAATCATTGTTTGTTTCGTTCTGCAGATATTCATCAATGTTCCATTCTGGTTCTACGCCATCAATGCTGTCCTCTCGCCATTCTTAACGCAACGAACCAAGAGCAAGTTTGTTGTGGCTCGTCCAGCTAAGGTCAAAGAGACTCTTCTCAAGTACATTCCAGCTGATGAGCTCCCAGTTCAGTACGGAGGGTTCAAAACAGATGACGATACCGAATTCTCCAACGAAACTGTCTCTGAAGTTGTTGTTAAGCCTGGATCATCTGAAACCATCGAAATCCCAGCTCCTGAGGTAAATAACCTTAGAAACCAAACCCTATCTTTTTTCACAAGTTGTTAACACTATCTTTCTAATAATGGTTTTTTTTTTTTTTTTGTGGTTGTTTTCATAGACTGAAGGTACATTGGTATGGGACATAGCGGTTTTGGGATGGGAAGTGAATTACAAGGAAGAGTTTGTGCCAACAGAAGAAGGAGCTTACACGGTAATAGTCCAAAAGGTGAAGAAGATGGGAGCAAATGAAGGACCAATCAGGAACAGTTTCAAGAACAGTCAGGCTGGTAAGATTGTTCTTACAGTTGACAATGTCTCTGGCAAGAAGAAGAGAGTTCTGTACAGGTACAGAACCAAGACTGAATCCTCTTCCTGAAGTGGAGGCTTTCAAGTAGTCTCTGGATATATAATATTCTTTTTCTAAATTTTAAAAGTTTGGTGTTATTATTATTTTTGAGTGATCTGTGCGAGAAAGAGATTATTTCATTGAAATTCAATCTTTTGCTTCTTTGTTATGAGATTTTCATTCTCTCTTCCGTTTCTACTTTGATTTTTTTATTTTTTGATTAAAATTTGTATGGATAAATAAATATGTTCGAATGTTTTCAGAGTTTTATATGGGCTGAGTAATGGCCCAATGGCCTTTCAGAGTGACTATCGAGAGGCCATCCACTCGTTTTATGTAATTTGTTTCTTTGATCACATTTGATTTATGATTAAGAGAACTAGAGAAGAGTACATGTCATCTCATCGCTCTGATCCATTTTAAAATTATAACGCCGAGGAAGATAAAATTTATAGACCTATGGTTTCTCTTTTTTTTGGTAAGTAGACCTATGGTTTCTCTATCGAATAGTAAATTTACCTTCCTCATCGTTGATGTTTCTTGGATAACTATAGATATATACACAAAAAACACACTAAAGAAATATGATATGTTATGGATGGTTGTTCTGAAAGGTTTTACAGAGAATAAAATAGTTGTTGAAATAATTCTCGATTGGCCCCAAAACAAAAACATCCAAAAGAGGAATGGTTTAATGAATAATAACTCTTTTTTTGTATTTTGATTCAACAGACATCATATTATAAACCCAAAAACCGAAAAAAAAATTGAAATTCGGATGGAAAAAAAAACATATTTACTCTTTCCAAAGTTAAGAAAGGCATCATCTTATATAGTTTACTTAAGAAAAACATAATTACTTATGAGATCACTACTCATCTTTTTAAAAACATGCATTGCTTCAAAGAAATTATGTTAAGAAAAACATAATTACTCTATCCAAACATAATTACTTATGAGATCACTACTCATCTTTTTAAAAAACATTGCTTCAATAAAATCTAATGATACCTTGCAGTCTTGTAGAAGATTAGGAATTATGTAGCAAACTAACTACTCTTGATATACACAATCACTTATCATTTATCAAATATAAATAAATAAAATTCTGAGCACTTTTTTCAGGGTAGAAGAAAGTGACCCTTGTTTGAAAATTCCAACAATTAGAAAATTTAGGGCCAAGGGATAAGTACTAGCTACAAATTTAACCTTTTTGTTTTGTTTGGTGAGAAGGTTAATCATTGTAGAAAACGTTGCTTTCGGAAACACTGTAAATTTGTGTTATGGCCTTAAGGGTCAATAGTTAGATTTCAAAGATGTAAAAAATATCCTTAATTAGACTACTTATTATGTTCCCATCGCTGATGCATGTGTGAGACTTACCTTAAATGGACCTACGCGGCAAAAAGAAAGAGTGCCACAAAATC